TATCCTATTACTGAAAAAATTGGAGCTTCATACAGGGCAATCATTACCAGAGGAGTTAATTGAGTATCAAGTTCCATGGTCGAGCCACATCAGACTATTTGGGACGCTGTACATCAAAATGACAGCCCACATGTGAAGCGTGTGACAAGCCAAGTCGAACTACATTTGACTTGATGATGCAGCAGCAACAAAAACAAGTTTTTGTCCCATGATGATGTGACAAAAACAAGTTTTTGTCAAATGATGATGTGACATTCATGGAACATATTTAGTCATTGTTTGGTCCTGCGACGTCATGGCTGTGATTTGAATGGACTAGTCTTTTATTTGTAAACAAAACCATGTGTTCATGGTGCAATCAGCTGTTTCTGAATCTTTCCTATTGTAAAAATCATTCCATCTTGCTAGTTGATATATATTAAGTAGCAAGGGACAACTTCTCTTGTCAATGATTCAATGTTTAAACAACCTGGTCCATTTCGGCATGCTGTGGAGAGGGCATGTGCTGAGAAGAGATGAGAACTGCATCGGATAATAAGTATGGTAGAGGAAGGCCAGATAAGTCGAGGAAGACCAAGGATAAGATAATGGAAGATATGCAGGTAAAGAGCCTATTAGAAGCAGATGCTCAAGTCAATATTTTCTATGATTACAGTTTTTAGTTTTCTGTGAATATACTAATGCATTTATAAACAATTTGGTCATCCTGAGTTACGCAGAATGAGTTATAGAGCTTTAAGTTTTAGAAAAATACAGTTTCATTGTCCATGTCTGTGCTAGCGTGAATATAATAAATAAAGTTAAAATATCCTCCCCTTACTATTGTCAATTATTATCACCGTAAAACTGCTTCTGTTTTTGTTTTGCTCTCTCTCTCTCTCTCTCTCTCTCTCTCTCTCTCTCTCTCTCTCTCTCTCTCTCTCTCTCTCTCTCTCTCTCTCTCTCTCTCTCTCTCTCTCTCTCTCTCTCTCTCTCTCTCTCTCTCTCTCTCTCTCTCTCTCTCTCTCTCTCTCTCTCCATGATTTGAGAAAATAATGGATGGAAAAATGGAAGGTGACACATATAACTCACAACACATTAATCCAATTGGCTTTGGAACAGTACTTCCTCAGGATAGAAAGAATCGCCGAGCCATTGCTCACAATTTATGTAAACCAGTCAACAAAGAGCCTCGATTTAATGTTATCTCGGTGTTTCTTATGTGTCCCGTTAACATCTTTAACGATGAGCTTCCACACACACGCCCTCAGTGAAGACGTCTTCGGGGTCGTTATTGCAGACAAGTCCTTCGGCGCAGGTGCCCAATTTCTTCCATATCCCGCCGCACGTCTCACCGAGCCCCTGGGGAGGAGGAGGAAGGGGGGTTCGGGATCAACACGAAGGATGATGATGATGATAATCCGAAATAAATACAATGATTAATGATGATGAATAATGTGATGGTTATCATTATATCATATACAGTATATACATACATGCATACATGCATACATATATATATATATATATATATATATATATATATATATATATATATATATATATATATATACATATACATATATATACATACATATATGTGTGTGTTTATATATATATATATATATATATATATATATATATATATATATATATATATATATGTTTGTGTGTGTGTGTGTGTGTATATATATATATATGTTTGTATATATATATATATATATATATATATATATATATATATATATATATATATATATATATATATATATATGTGTGTGTGTGTGTGTGTGTGTGTGTGTGTGTCTGTTTATATATATATATATATATATATATATATATATATATATATATATATATATATATATATATATATATATATACATAAACATGTGTATGTGTGTGTGTGTAAATGCAAACACATATAAACATATATTCATATATATATATATATATATATATATATATATATATATATATATATACTATATATATATATATATATATATATATATATATATATATATATAGTGTGTGTGTGTGTGTGTGTGTGTGTGTGTGTGTGTGTGTGTGTGTGTGTGTGTGTGTATACGCAAGTCTTAAATTCCATTACAAGATAAGGGTCCTGACTTGCCTTGGCGCATTCACACCTATTGCAGAGGTCCGTCTCAAATCCAAACTGGCAGTCCAAGCCAGCTTTCGCCTCGGGTGTGCATCCTTCAGCCAGAGAACACCTAAGCCCTGTCACGCTAACGATCCGGATTTAGGAATTAGTGTATGACATTACATAACTGTACAATGTTGAGGAATTCTTTCCTACATATATTTCAAAATCAATTGACTAATATTAAATCACGAAAGTTTCTTATCTTACCAAACGAGGCAGAGAGCCAGGCAGAGGGAAAGACACAAGAAGAGCTTCATGCTGAAAGCTTAACTGCACGTAGACTGTTCCGATGGTTAATATATATGCTCCTGGTCCAACGACTCCGCCCAACGCGACTCCACACACAGCTCTCGA